CTGAGTCCATATGCATAACAAGTAGAAAGCTAGGACCATATGGCAAAAACATTCACACTACTTAATGGTAATCACAAACATCATCTTTATGTACAAAAATCAATGTAATTATCCCTGTGAAAAAGAATTTAGAGAAACTATTTTTAAAGACATATCTACTTATTTATTGCCAATATCTAATTTTATAAGCAGTAAATAAGATAAACTTAAAATTTTTATTAAAATACTGAAAATAAGTTCTTGGTACAATGCTACAATGACAAATCTGTCAAAAAACTAGGACATCATCTCCTTCTCAAAATAAATAGGCGGCGCTCAACCTACAAAAAGGCAGGGTTCCAAACACCCATTTGTAATAGGCTATTCAAAATGTAGGAAATACATCTTCCATCAAAACAAAGCCCATTCAGAGATGATGAAAACATTCTATATTTTGGAGTGGTCACATGGAAATACACATTTGTCAAAAATCATCAAAGTGTAGACGTCAAAGGTCTATTTACTATATTACAAGAAACTTGATTTTTATATGTCCTTGAAAGTGGTTTGAATATCATTCCACACACAAAATTACTCATATCTTAGCATAACACTGTACCTCTGTATCATTTTAATGCTAGCTAATTATCATTTATATGAGTGTTTCTATGGCAAAATGAATTAAGTTCTAAAAAGGTAATGGCACATATTCATCTCTTCCCATTCCTTAGCATTTTAAGGACTAAAGTTGATATTTCTGGGCATCTTTAAGTTATAAGTTCTCTGTCAGCACCAGAAAAAGTATTTTTTACATCAACCATTGGTCAAATGTCCTAAAGCAAAAGAAAAGGCACAAGCCTAAACAAGGCTGTGAATCTGTTCCTGCTAATCACAAGTCATTTAAAAACTGAGTGTTTCTATGCCATGAAATAAAACCAAATGACTTAATCTATAAATTTGAATAAAATTAGTCAAATTTAAACAGTTATAATACTTCGTAATTTTTATTTTATACCAACCTACTCTGAACACCATGAGATAGGCAGTTATAATTATCTCTCGTCACAGTACTTTAAAAAACACAGATCAGAAACAACACAGAAAGAGTAAATGACTAAAGTCATATTTATGACAGTTGCATTAAAGTACTCCTGATTCTCAATACAGTGTTTTTTACTGCTAAACAATGCACAATGAGAATCACTTTTCATTCTTTTTTTTTTTTCATACCGGGGATCGAGCTCAGGTCCTTGCGCTTGTGCAGCAGGTGGCGAAACCACCGAGCTAAATCCCCGGGCCACTTTTCATTCTTGAGAGATGTATTTTATTTTGACTGCTGCGCCAAAATCTCTGATTTTCACAGTCACATAAATTTGAAAAGGATATACCTTCTTTAACCTTACAATTATAAACTGTTGAGATAATATATGATTAAGTTTTGCTTACTTCTTTTTTTCTACTATAACTCACATATGGTAAAGAACTATATACACACACACACATATGTAGTTTTGAGTATAGTACAAATAAATATTTTCTTATTCTTTCAGAATAAGTTGCTGTCTTGATGGCCCATCACCCCTGAATATTTTAAAATGTACTTAACACAAAAAAGGACATCTTGGGGCCAGGGATTTAGCTCAGTGGTTCCGCTGCCTGCCTGGCAAGTGCAAGGTCCCGAGTTCAATCCCCGGTACCGAAACAAAACTAAAACAAAAACAAAAACAAAAAAAACAAAAAAGGACATCCTCCTACACAATTACAACGTAACTGGAAATTAACTTTAATATATTAATACTATCTAATCTTCAAACTACATTCAACTTTCATTGATTATATCCTAAAATGTTATACCAAAAGGATCCATTCTGAACTATGCACTGTACTTGGTTGTAAAGTGTCTTTATTTCACTTTAGGACCATTTCTCAAGTTTTCCTTTGTTTTTGTAACCTTGACACCATTTGGATTACAGAACTGGTACTTATAGAATCTAATGTCTGTTTGTCTGGACAGCTTATGCATCTTTAAAATTTTTTTTTTAAATATACAGCTTATGTATCTTTGGCAGGAAGATTCACAGAACTGAAGCTGTGTTCTCAGTGCCACCTTGTAGGGGCACATGATGTCGACCAGTCTGGTTATTGAGGGTGTTCTCTCTGATTACCTGATTGTATGTCACGTTTTTCCACCACATAGCTACTCTTTCCTCCTCTGCCATTAACATGTATTTTGGGGGATCATATTTTGAAACTTTGTAAGATCCTGCTCTTTGTCAGACTTTTTTAAATGAAACAACAACAACAACAACAACAAAATTTCATAACAAAATAACAAGAATAACAAGTTATTACACTGTGTATCATTATCTTCAAAGTAGTTAGAATATAAGGCAGACAAAAAAGATTCTCTTACAAAGAAGAAACAGATAATAGCACAAAACTTTCTTTTCAATGAACTAAAAGAAATTAGTAGTACAAATGAAACAAATGAACATTCATCAGACTTAAAACTGATCAGCTGTTATCTGCTGAGACTATGGTTTCCTACTTTGTTCAGTAGATTAATTTGTTACTGACACTGGATGCTCAAGTTGTCCCAGATTTGCTAGTAGGAATTTTTTCAAATTGTTTCTCTGTGTAGATGTTTTTATCATCTCTCCATCATTCTTGGAGTAATCCCTTGTTTTCTAATATAAAACACTTTAGGGTTCATCTTATACTTTCTCTGCCTTAAGCCTGGAACCAACAATTTCATTTGGTGGAAAATAGTGTTTTGAAGCCAAAAATCTATGCATCAGCTATCTGTTGCAATTATGGTGTGACTATTTCCAGGTCCTCTCAATGTACAGAGATAGAGAATGTAGGGATATGTAGACACAGACACATATACTTGCATCTGTATGCATTATATATTGGCTAAAACAAATGATACCACACCAAACCTCCAATTCCATTCCAATACTCCAGCATTCATTCTAGTTTTTTATATTTGTAAATGTCCTCTGTGACTGTGAGAGACTTCATTACCTTTAATATGTAGTTATTTGACCTCCCTCCCCATACGTAACATTCTCCTGTCTTCACTGCTAACCCTCCTCCATGCAGATTGACTTCATCCTAATTTGGCTGTGACAATCCTCTACAGACCAAACCACATACCTTCCATGCTGGCACTTCCTTCATTCAGATCAAACTGTGTCATAACACTTGCTAAGCCTAATCCACCAGGGACATTTTCCTCACCTAGTCAGACTTTGCCACACTACCGTATCCTTCCCTCTATACGGGCACTCTTCTCATTCTATTTAAAATCTGATGCCCTGCAACAATCTGCCCCCCACAGCACAGACACCCTCTTTATCCTGCTTGTCTTCTAATTCTCCACACAGGCCATGCCTCTGTATGGATGCTCTATTACCTAGCTTGGTCTCCAAAACCCACTTCAGGCTGCTTCCCTACCTGTTCAGGGTTAGACACCCCTTCTCTAGACCACTGTTCCCACCTCTTTTCTCTCCAGCATGGAGAGTCAACTAGTTCTATCTCACCTAATGATCTTATGACTAGAAGAGAAAAAGGATGGTTTCATACGTGAATTTAAAGTAGCAGAATTAAACCTATAAATTCACTCTGAATTACAAAGGTCTACTATCTAGAATATATAAAGAATTGAAAAAAATCAGACCCCCCAAATTCAAAGACCCAATTCAAAAATGGGCATCTGAAATGAACAGACATTTCTCAGACAAAGAAGTAAAAGCAGCAAATAAATATATGAAAAAATGTTCAACATCACTGGTCATTCGAGAGATGCAGATGAAAACAACACTGAGATTCCACCTCACCCTAGAAAAAATGGCTGCTATCAAGAAATCAACCAATAACAAATGCTGGTGGGGGTGTGGGGAGAAAGGAACCCTTCTCCATTGTCGGTGGGAGTGCGGACTGGTGTAACCACTGTGGAAATCAGTATGGAGATACCTCAAAGAACTAAAGGGCTAGAGGTCCCATTTGACCCAGCTATTGCCCTGCTGGGTATCTTCCCCCAAAGAATTAAAAGAATCATACCACAGTGATATATGTGCACCCGTGTTTATAGTGGCACAGTTTGTAGTAGCTAAAGCTTGGAAACAGCCCAAGTGCCCATCAACTGGAAACTGGATAAAGAAGATATGGTTTTTTTATAAAATGGAGTACTACTCAGCCATAAAGAACGAGAAACTAGAGACACTTATAGCTAAATGGATGCATATTGAGGCCATACTCTTAAGTGAAATAAATAGGACACACATGTGTAAATACCAAATAGTTTCTCTAGTGTGAGAAACTGAAAGTATAAATAAGGATTAAAATAATTAAAGCAAATAATTGATAATTTGAAATATTAAAAGGTCCAAAGGTGTACGGGTGGTGGGAGGGGAAGGGGAAAGGAAAGAAGGGAAAGGAAAAATTATGAGAAAAGAAAAAAAATGGAAATGAAATCTATGTAAATAGGGAAGGGTGGAGGGGTGAAGGGCGCACAGGTAATGGGGAAAAAATAAGAACCAAGATTCATCATGTACAGGTACAAGTAACCAATGATAAGTGTAAACGTACTGTACACCTAAAATGTACCAATGAAAGAATTAAAACAAAAAATTCACTCTCAAATGTACAAAGAGTCAAGTAAAATATCTCTTATGCTATACACTCAACATGTGACAGCCACCTTGGAAAAAAAAAGTAGTATAAATTAAGGATGCTCAAGTTAAAAAACTTGAAAAAATTCCCAGCCTCCAAGTGTACAGTGTTAGGAACTTCATTGCTAATATAAAACACATAAGTCAGTAAATTCCTATTAGATACTTCTAAAAGGTGTGTTTTATAATTTCAGCAGGCTACTCAAACTTTCATTCTAAATGGTCAGTTATTAAAATAGAATTAATTTAGATTTTGTTAAAAACTATAAATACAAACTATAACTCACAACATTTATAACAGTCACAGAAAATAAGTTAGGCCACTGTAGACATGCTGATACTTACTTTATCTACACAATCATCAAAAAATGCCAGGCTTGCATCTTTATCACTGACAAAAGAACATTCCTCAATAAAGCGAATAAACATTTGTGTTTTGGTCATCATGTTATAGAATTTTTGATGTGATCGGTCCCGGCTTCTTAAGAAAGCTGTTCAACACAAATACATAATATGAGAACATATATCATTCATTGATTCATAGAATTTTTGAGATAGAAGAAACCAAGATCAATCATGTTGCCCTACCGGCCCATATTCCCAACTATTTCTCAAAAAAAGAAATTAAGATTCTTATGGAGGGAAATGACTTGACAAATAAGAAAGCAATTGGAAAGGAACATAAATTCAGATATCTCAAATTTTCATCCAGAATTATCTTGTTTCTTCTCTGTCTTGAAAGTTACATATAAACTAATGAATCGGAAAGTATTTTAAAAATTGCTATTTTTCGTCAAATTCTTTGTATGTTATGTGTACATGCATACTCTCATGTACTCACTCTCTCCTTAAACACACTATATATGTCTTTTTCAATATGTTCCTTCTGATGATCATTTATATTTTCCTTCTTTCTTGTTTTCTTTTTGAGATAGCATCTCACTAAGTAGCTCTGGCTTGCCCTGAGCTTGGAGTTCTTCTGCCTGAGACACTCAAGCAGCTGGGATCACGAATATGCACCACCACACTTGATTATCTTACTTCTTGAAATCAGCGTTAAAGTCTATCTCCTGATTTAACTTTACTGTTCATGCTCAGTTATACTGCTCTTGGGCCTTCTTTTAGGTCCATGAACTCAAGCTCTTTCCAGCTTCAAGGGCTTTGCAAAAACTCTGCCTGAAACAGTCTCTCATTTCCCTGTGTTTGGATAATTTCTATTCATCTTTGAGAGAACAACTTAGACATTTTTTCTTCAAAAAGGCTTTCATAATTTAAAGTTGTGAAACTAAGGTTGTTCACCCATACTTTCTAATCGTTTATCCTTTTGACTATAAGCCCTGTGAGAAAAAAGACCAGGACACCATTTTCATTTTTTTCATACCTATGTGTCTTTTGCATACTAATAAATACCCAATGCTTAGCATTTGGAACCATCAACGTGTACTAGTTGAATTTTCTTTCAAATATTAAACACTACAAAAGAAAGTAAATATGTATTAAGACACCAGTTGAACTCTGCGGCTTCCCAACCTTTTTTTCCCATTTTGTGGCATAGACAGTAATATTTATAAAGCACACTGTAATAAAACAAATAAAGCCTATTCAAGCCTAGAGGTAGCCATCCAGGGATTCCTCTGCCTGCTTACTCTGAAAGTTGAGAAACTACGGTGGTTTCTCGGTTCACAAACTTAATTCATTCCATGATTCTGGAAAAGACAGCCATGTTCCCGTTTGTGTGGGAAAAATGGCTACAGCTGTGTTTGTCGCCCAATGCAGAGTTGCAGACAAAAACAAAATCTTGCCAAATTTGGTTCGCAAACAAAAGCATTTGTGAACTGAGGCACCACTGTACTGGTATCTCAACACATAATAGAGTGAAGAATTATGTATATGCCTAGGAGGCTCAAATAATTTCTTTTGTGTATCTTGCTAATAGGATTATATTTAATGAGCCAGAGAAAGAACTTCTCCTATAGAAATGGATCACCAGAATTGGTGTTCACATACTCTTCAAATAGGTATGTACTTTGAGAAACATGAACTATTAACCCAGAGAGCAAATAAATCGTCACAAGGTTAAGCTCAGTAATATGAAAGCTATAAAACTATGCAATCACTCACCTTGCAGGGCAAAAAGAGAGGCTGCATCTGTTGCTGTTTCAGATGGGGCTTGTGTTATTGGCCTTAAGTATGATCTATATCCTTTTAAAATAGAAGCCATGAAAAATAAAAATGCCTCTTGGATTTCCAAATCTATCATGTGTAACCTCTTTCCAGAATTAAAATCATAGTCATTCATTGTTAAATCCATTAGTCCATCATCTCTTGGTCTCTGCTGCACTGTGAAGAAACATAGTATTAATGTTTTCTCCTAACTGCTAAAACTTTTGCTCTAATAATATCAGTGTAAGTTTGTTGTGTCTTTAGAAGGTCTCATGTCACTTCAACTATTTACAGAGCTTCATCATCTGTAAAGCCTTAAGAAAATAAACTATATCATTTTTAGGCTCTGTTGAATATACTTTATGCATGTTAAACAAAAAATATTCCTCTGTGTCATCAGAAAGAAAAGTTCATGTCCATATTAACTGGACACAGGGTTAATGCAACAGTTCCCCCCACAACACCTTTTGTAAAATATAAATGCTTGCAGGATAAACCCACAGGGATTAAAATATAAAAACAACTCCCCCTCTTTTTGGACAGTTCAATGCTAGAATTAATAGGTCATAAAAAAATAACTTTACAGAAGAGGAGCCTGATAAGATAGCACTTTAATGAAGTAATCAAAGGGGTATCTTCATCAATAATGGGACAAATTAAAATGGGGCACCTGATAACACAATGAGAGGAATACATCATCCCTTCTCCAACATTCCTGCCAAAGATGAATGACCTGCATCTACCATGAGGATGCTCAAATTCACATTATGGACCATTCTAGAATAGTAACTGTAACTTTCAAAAGTATCAAGAAATATCCAGGCATGGGAGCACATACCTAAAATACCAAAATTCCAAGAAGTTGAAACAGGAGGATCACAAGTTCAAGCCTATCCTGGGCAATCTAGCAAGATCCTGTCTCAAAATTAAAAGGGCAGTGGGGGATTGAGATGTAGCTCAGAGCAAAGGCTCTGGGTTTAATCCCCAGCATTCTAGTACTACTTTTAAAAAAAGGTATCAAAAAGATGAAGGAAAACTAAAGAACTGCTTTCGAAGAAAGGACACTGAAGAGATTTGAAATACATTCTATTCAGAGGACAGGGCATCTACCCTTAAAGGGTCAGGAAAAAAGTCTTGTGAGTGCTCCAAAATGTAAGGATTTTGTTTTAAATATGAGGAACAATTAATCATCTTAGAGAGTTTGACAGTTTTTATTGTTTAAGAGAGACTATAAAGAACATGGCTTTGGAGGCTCCCCTGCCACCATTCCATGCTCCTAGGGCAGAGAAGGTGAGCCAATCCCAGCACCCAGGAAGAGGCTCCCCTGTCGCCATTCCACGCTCCTAGGGCAGAGAAGGTGAGCCAATCCCAGTGCCCAGGAAGAGGCTCCCCTGCCGCCATTCCACGCTCCTAGGGCAGAGAA